CAGGAATGACTGGCTAATTGTGTTCTGCCCCTCATTAGCAGCCTCCATTCAGCAATGTCTGAGGGCTTTGCAAGCATGAATGAAGGGTGTTTTACTGTATGCTGGGTCCTCCAGGACCTGTCTGATGGGTACTTTGGGACCTATATGATGGGTACTCTGGGACCTGTATGATGGGGACTCTGGGACCTGTATGATGGGGAGTCCAGGACCTGTATGATGGGGACTCTGAGACCTGTATGATGGGTACCTTGGGACCTATATGATGGGTACTCTGGGACCTGTATGATGGGTATTCTGGGACCTGTATGATGGGTACTGCAGGACCTGTATGATGGGTACTCTGGGACCTGTATGATGGGGACTCTAGGACCTGTATGATGGGTATTTTGGGACCTGTATGATGGGTATTCTGGGACCTGTATGATGGGTATTCTGGGACCTGTATGATGGGGACTCCAGGAGCTGTACCTGGGGGAGGAGGTGGGAAGAGAAGTGATCTCAAGGAGAGGCAGGAGCTTTGGGGAGATCCAGCAGCTCGTGCCTTCCAGTGCACAAACCAGAGTCTAAAAGCAACGAGGAGCCCAAGTTAGACCTTGACCTTCTGCCTTGTAGCAAAGCAGCTGTGCCTGGTGGGCTCCCACCCAGCCCCTGTGCTGCAGGACCTCACCTGTCCCTGCTGCTGAGCAGCCTTGCTCTCCCTCCAGCCTCATTCCTGGAGGTTAATTGCATCTCAGCCAGCTCAAGAAAAGTCCACTGCCCTTTTTAATGCTCAGTCATTTTCCTAGCAAGCAGCAGGATTCAGCTGGTGGTTAATTATTCATGGCATTGGCAAAGCAATCTAGCAGCAGGTTACAGTGTTTCCTAAATGCACTTTAATAAAGGTGCTGTTTGTCATCCCAGCATTAGGAAAGCCAGGGCAGGAGCAGGGGCTTGGCCTGAGGCAGGAGGACTTTGCAGCTTCCCAGGACTGTGTTTCCTTCCCCCTGGTGCCCTTGGCTCTGGCAGGAGCTCTTGCCCCCAGGTAGCATCACCCAGGGGCACCCCAGGGGCAGGGTGATGGGGCTGCAAAGCCTCAGCCTCTGGAGAGATCCCACTGGATCTCCCTGCCCAGCCCTGCCCTCCCACATTCCCAAGGAGTGAGGAGCTGCTGGGTTTGGGGGGAGCCCTCCCACATTGCTCCCCACTTCTTCATCAGCTTGTTTTCCAGCACGGGGCTTTTGAGGGGCTCCCTCATTACCCAGGATAAAGCCTTGGGCTCATAAGAACTGGGAAGAGCAGGGATGGACTGGGATGCTCTGGGCAAACTGGGCTCCATGCTGGGGCAGCTGGAGCAGGATCCTGCCAGGGAGCAGCTGGGCACTGTGCAGATCAATGCTCCAGGCATCTGAGCAGCCCCTGGGCCTTTCTAAGTCCAGCCATTGATTTTTTTTTCTTATTATTTTTTAAAATATACGTATATTCTGATTATTTTTTTATTTGGTTTCCTTTCCTGTGGCTGCTGGGGCTGGAGGAGAGGGTTTCCTCTCCTGAGAGCTGTGGCTGCCTCTCTTGAAATCAGCCTGTGCTGGAGGTACACGAAGGGCAGGCAGCAGGAGAAGGGTTTGCAGTGAAATCAAAGATGGGAAGAGGGTTTTCCCAGCCTGGGGACAGATGATCCAGGCTCTGTCCCCTCTGGGAATGACATGGAATGACGTGGGGGGACAGGGGTGGCACCAGGGCTGGAGTGTGGCCAAGCCAGTAGTGACCTGGGCTGGGTTTTACCTTCATTTCTGGGAGGAAAGGAGCAGAGATCATCCCTCCCAGCACCTAGAAGGGTCCCATTGGGATCAGCACTGGATCCCTCCCAGCTCTAGGCTGCAAATGAGCTTTTCTCCAGGTTGGATGGGGCTTGGAGCAGCCTGGGCTGGTGGGAGGTGTCCCTGCCCATGCAGGGGGGTTGGATCTGGATGAGTTTTGGCTCATGGGATGGTTTGGGTTGGAAGGGACCTTCCAGACCACCCAGATGATCCCACTAGATGATCTTGAAGGTGCCATGGAACCCCTGGATCAGTGGTGGGGATGCTCTGGAGCTCAGGTGATGAAGCTCTCCCATCTCTCCCCAAACTGAAGTATTTCCATGTTCCCCACGTGCACCAGGGGCAGAGCAGGTGGGGAACAACCTCCACAGGGGTTTTTTTTAGGCAAATGTTTCTGGTTTGTTGCTGGTTTTGGGGTTCTTTTTCAACAACAAATCAATCCAATGCTGAGTAGAGACCCAAGAACATCCAGCTGGCCCAGACTCTGGATGCAGCCATGAAACCTTCACCTTCCAAAGTTCAATTCCCTCAACTCCTGAGGTCAGGTTGGAGGCAATTTCTGCCCAACCTTGCCCTGCAGGCAGCACCACAGACCTGCCACAAGCTCCTGAACAGCCCAAACGAACCTGAACTGCCCCAAAATGGCCTTTTCTTTCTGTTGCTTTAAATACTTGTTACTTTTCCTCTCCCAAATCCCAGGTTTTTGTGCCGGGGGGGGGGTGCCTGCTCCTGGCTGGAGCTTTGGTGGTGACCCAGGTTTCTTTGCTGTGGGTTTTAATTTGCTTTTTCTCCCCCTTTTTTTCCCCTCCCCCTTCAGGAGAAGAATTTTATGAAGCTTCCCCCTACGAGCCAGTCACCTCTCGTCTCTCTGATATATTCAGACTTGCTTCAATTTTCTCAGGTAATCAAAGCAATGTCCTGCTGCTGCTTTATCTGCTCTTCCCCATCAACCCAGACCTGCTCCTGAGCTCCCTGGCCAGGAAACCCTGCACCTCCTCCCCCTGTGGTTTGATCCTCCAGCTCCTGGGACCCTTCAATGTCCTGTCTCTTCTCCCATCACCCCAGATCTGATGCCTTGAGCACCAGTTTGGGGAGGAGACGTGGCCCCCAGCAGCCAACTGGGATGCAGAAACCCTGATGGAGGGGCTGGTTCCTGAGTGCTGATGCACTTGGGGACAGATCTTCTCCTCTGATGACCTTCCTGGTGGGATCAGACGTGGCTGGGAGCCCTGGCTGGGCTGGGGGCTTGCTCTGAACCCCCACCCAGCAGTGACAGCCAAGCCACAGGCAGCAGCCTCCTCCCGGGGCTTCTTCTTTCCCTGCCCAACCTTGCCCTGCAGGCAGCACCACAGACCTGCCACAAGCTCCTGAACAGCCCAAACGAACCTGAACTGCCCCAAAATGGCCTTTTCTTTCTGTTGCTTTAAATACTTGTTACTTTTCCTCTCCCAAATCCCAGGTTTTTGTGCCGGGGGGGGGGTGCCTGCTCCTGGCTGGAGCTTTGGTGGTGACCCAGGTTTCTTTGCTGTGGGTTTTAATTTGCTTTTTCTCCCCCTTTTTTTCCCCTCCCCCTTCAGGAGAAGAATTTTATGAAGCTTCCCCCTACGAGCCAGTCACCTCTCGTCTCTCTGATATATTCAGACTTGCTTCAATTTTCTCAGGTAATCAAAGCAATGTCCTGCTGCTGCTTTATCTGCTCTTCCCCATCAACCCAGACCTGCTCCTGAGCTCCCTGGCCAGGAAACCCTGCACCTCCTCCCCCTGTGGTTTGATCCTCCAGCTCCTGGGACCCTTCAATGTCCTGTCTCTTCTCCCATCACCCCAGATCTGATGCCTTGAGCACCAGTTTGGGGAGGAGACGTGGCCCCCAGCAGCCAACTGGGATGCAGAAACCCTGATGGAGGGGCTGGTTCCTGAGTGCTGATGCACTTGGGGACAGATCTTCTCCTCTGATGACCTTCCTGGTGGCATCAGACGTGGCTGGGAGCCCTGGCTGGGCTGGGGGCTTGCTCTGAACCCCCACCCAGCAGTGACAGCCAAGCCACAGGCAGCAGCCTCCTCCTTGGGCTTCTTCTTTCCCTCCAGGGCTGGGATTTAGGCTTTTCCCTTTTGGATCCAGCTGCCTCCAGCTGCAGGTTTCTGGCAGGTGGTTGAGCTGGGCTGGAGAGCCTGGAATTGCCTGGAATTTCTCTTGGGGATGTGTCCCCTTGTGCAGGTGGGTGTCAGGGGGAGGAGGCACAGCCCGAGCTCCCAGACCCTCCCTCTGCCCACCCATCACCCCATCACCAGCACTTTGTCTCCTGTTAAGATTTAGGACACCCTGTCAGTGGGGAAGTTTGGGGGAGGGGGTTGGTCCTTTTTGCTGCCCCTCCCCAGTGGTGGGAGGAGGATGTGGGGCCCTTTGGAGCATCTCTCTGCCTCCTCCTCCTCTGGGGAACACAAACTCCCCCATCATCCTTGGGAACTTTTCTTGCCATCTATTTCCATGACAACCCTCCAGCTCCCCCCCCCCCCCCCCCATTTTTCAAATTAGGTCACCAATGCTTTGGTTTCTCCTTCCTCCTTTATCTCTTAACCCTTTTCCTGAGAGCCTTGGGATTTGGGGATCCCTGTGTCCCCAGACTGTGCAGGGTGATGGGCAGAGGGTGGTGGCACCCTGGGGACCCCCCCATGATGCCCCCCCCTCCTTGCCCTGCCCCCAGCTCACATGGGGACCCCTCAGAGGAAGGTTGGGACACTGTTGTCCCCTCACTGTCACCCCATTTGGGCTCCCCAAGGCAAATTCAAGGCTCCCTCCAGGGAACTCAGCTCTGGATGAAGGTGCCACCCCCTCCTTGGTTCCCTCACAGCCCTTGGGGTGACAGGAACGTCAAGGAAATCTTGGAGCTGCTGGGAAGTCTGAGAAGCCCCGTGTCTGGAGTGGGGGATGAAAAGCTCCTGGGCTGATTTATTCATAAAAACAGAACGAGGAAGCTCGTCTGGCAGCTCTGGAGCTGCAAGGAAAGGGGGGATTGGCTGTTGTTGCCCCCCAGGGACCTGCCCTGGCCATCGGGGTGGCCTTGGTTCTTCTGCCAACCCTTCTCTGTCCCCCTCACATGGGGCTGGAGTGGTGGGAGAAATGAGGGGCTGCCCCCCTGCCCTGGACCCCCAACCCTGAGCTGGAGCCCAAACGGGTCACCCAGAGGAGGGGCTGGTGTTGTTTCTGGCTAATGAGGCTGAGGCTGAGCCCTGCTAATTGCTGGGGGGGGACAGAGGGATTAGCTGGCCCTGCTGGAAAGGGGGGGCTGTGCAGGCAGAGAGAGAGGCAGGGAGGGGGCTGGGGGCACCTCCAGGGAGCAGCACCAGGGGCAGCAGCAGGAGAGGGGAACCTGAGGGGGCACCACGA